TGACTGACTGCCACACATACTCTTCAAAACATTAGATTCATCCGCTCTGGAGCCGTGCCGATTTACAACCCACGCAAGCTAGATAATTCCACACCCAGCTGCAATTCCAGGTTTTCAAACAGAGATGGCGACAAAGAGGCAAAACTTACAGACTGCAACTTTAAATTAAAGGTTTGGTGAGAAACTTATTGTATTAAACCAGGGGTGTCAAACTCAGTTCCTGGAGGGCCCTGCAGAGTTTAGCTTCAACCCTGCTTCAACTCGCATACCATGTAGTTTTCAAATAAGCTTTAATTACTTGTTGGCTGGATCATTTGTGTTTAATTAGGGTTGCATCTAAACTGTGCAGGACTGTGGCCCTCCATGAACTGAGTTTGACACCGCTGTATTAACCAATAATGCTCACATTTTTCATGCACTTACTTTAAGATGCAATCCTCAATTATATCAAATTAAAGTTGTTCAAATAAACAATTTCCAGCCCATAGATGATTATTTCAAAATGACTATGTTGATCATCTTAAACAATTCATATCTTCCATGATTGCATGCAATGATTGAATAGCATAATACTAGGGCAGGGGTGACGAACGTCGGTCCTGGAGCACCGCAGCCCTGCAGAGTTTTGCTTCAACCCTAATCAAATACACCTGAACAAGCTAATCAAGGTTTGAACAGTTACTAGGAAGCTACAGGTAGGTGAGTTTTCATTAGGGTTGGAGCTGAACTCTGCAGGGCTGCGGCTCTCCAGGACCGGAGTTCGCCACCCCTGCTATATACCATTGGTCTCAAACTCAATTGGTTTGAATATGTCATGGTAAGCTTGCATTCCAGCAGATGTTCTTAGATGTGTGTTTCATATTCTAGGCACCATGGCAAAGCGTTTTCAGAAGATAAAAGTGGAGAACACTGAAGACAACCGCCGCAGCTTTCGTGACATCCTCTTCTCTGTAGACAACTCAGTCTCTGAATATATTGGTGGTGTCATCTTTTTCCATGAAACACTGTACCAGAAATCACACCAGGGAGTTCTGTTTCCAAAAGTCATCAAGGACAAGGGCATCGTAGTTGGTATCAAGGTGAGATTTCGGTGCACTTTTTAAAATGTTTTCTCTAACATAGTGTGAACGTGTTTATGCATTTCTATGCTTGCTAAAGCCCAAGGGTGGCGAACGTCGGTCCTGGAGAGCCGCAGCCCTGCAGAGTTTTGCTTCAACCCTAATCAAATACACCTGAACAAGCTAATCAAGGTTTGAACAGTTACTAGGAAGCTACAGGTAGGTGAGTTTTCATTAGGGTTGGAGCTGAACTCTGCAGGGCTGCGGCTCTCCAGGACCGGAGTTCGCCACCCCTGCTATATACCATTGGTCTCAAACTCAATTCCTGGAGGGCCACAGCTCAGTTTAGCTCCAACCCTAATCTAATGCTCCTGATAATCAAGCTCTTCTGGATTACTAGAAAACTTCCAAGCAGATGTGAGTTGGAGTAGGGCTGCGTTCCAGTCTGTTTTTTTTATGCCCTTCACTCGCAAACTTCCCTCCGTCTCGTTTACTCGGATGTACGTCATTGATTACGTTGCATGAGTGCCCACTTCTGGCGAAACCCTTGGAATGGGCTGAACTGGAACGTCCTAAGCCCTAGATCACTTAGAATCAGCTATGGAGTTGGTTTATTGTTTACATTTTTTCCCTTATGAATTTGTTTGGTGCAGCATTCTATATGTATATAGGTATGTTTGGGCTGTTATAAATGT